ATTTTTTAAAAAATGGAATTTTTAGAAAATCTATTTAAAATTATTGAAATAGAGAATATATTGTAGGGCACAGCCAGACAGCAGTCCAGCCCCTATGACTTGGATCCAGTTCTTACTTAACAAATCTCTCTAGCGCATGCTCCTTCTAGCAACCAAAAGCCTTAAGCTACAAAGGTCCCACCTCACCCAGGCTGCATGACTTTTCACACTGTAGACTTTCAGGCCTTCACCCTTTGGCCCTCTTACCTCTCAGCCAACACTCCCCAAACCCCCCAGAGCTCACTCCTCAACTAAGCCTTCTTGGTTATCATTGCATACCAGTGGCTCTTGGCCAATTTCCTTCTATTAATATATTCACTGTAGGTCCTTCTGATCCCAGCCATACTTTCTCCTTATGAACTGAATAGTAAGAAAATTGGTGGAAACAAGATATTCATCCCTCAGTATTGGTAGGGGATTGGTTCCAGGACCCCCAAATGCGATGAATGTGGAAAAGCCTTCATTCAAAGCTCACATCTCATTGGATATCACAGAGTACACACTGGAGTGAAACCCTACAAATGCTCAAAATCTGAGGATGCTCAAGTCCCTTATATAAAATGGTGTAGTATTTGCATACAACTCAGCACATCCTCCTGTACACTTTAAAACCATCTCTGTGGGTCTTCCCTGGTGGCGCAGTGGTTGAGAGTCCGCCTGCCGATGCAGGGGACACGGGTTTGTGCCCCGCTCCGGGAGGATCCCACATGCCGCGGAGCGGCTGGGCGCGTAAGACACAACTACTGAGCCTGCGCGTCTGGAGCCTGTGCTCCGCAACAAGAGAGGCCACGATAGTGAGAGGCCCGCACACCGCGATGACGAGTGGCCCCCGCTTGCCACACTAGAGAAAGCCCTCGCACAGAAACGAAGACCCAACACAGCAAAAATAAATAAATAAATGAACTCCTACCCCCAACATCTTCAAAAAACAACAAAAAACCATCTCTATGTTATAATACCCAACAATGTAAATGATTTGTAGTAGTTGTAAATACAACGTCAGTGTTATATAAATAGTTGCCAGCACTCAGCAAATTCAAGTTTCGCTTGTTGGAACTTTCTAGATTTTTTTTTTATGAATATTTTCTATGCGAGGTGGGATGCATCTGAGTGAATGCGGAACCCGCAGATTTAAAGGGCCAGCTGTAACTGAAACCATGCCCCTCAGAATGGGACTCGAACCCATGCAGCTGGGACTCAAACCCGGCCAGAACCCACAGTCTTCCAACTGAGATCACACACCTGGTTTCAGGACTTAATGACGCTCCGGTTCTTGATGTCTCATCGCAGAAAGAATTCAGTGAGAGACAAACGGATAGATAAGAAGTGGATTTATTTAGAGAGAAACACACTCCATAGACTGTGGGCCATCTCAGAAGGTGAGAAAGGCACCAGGGTATGGGGTTGTCAGTTTTTGTAGGGGTGGGTAATTTCCTAGGCTAAAGAGTGAGAGGAGAATTCCAGCTACTTTGGGAAGGGGCGGGGATTTCCAGGAATTGGGCCACCGCCCACTTTTTGATCCTTACGGTGGGTCTCGGAACTGTCATGGCACCTGTGGGTGGTGTCATTTAGCTTGCTGATGTGTTACAGTGAGTGTATTGCGAGGCTCAAGGTCTAGTGGCAGTTGACTTGTACGCCATCTTGGACCCATTTGGTTCTAATCAATCTATGTCATGTCCTCGGGCTATGTCATGCTTTCAAAGGTTGTGCCCTGACCCCTTCCCTCCGGTTTCATAACAATCAGCTCTCGTCCTGTTAGTGAGTCCAAGCTCCCTGTGCTCGCCACACGATGGGCCGATAAATCGGGAGGCAAGGTGTTGAGGCAAGGAACACGACTTTATTCGGAAAGCCGGTAGACCGAGAAGATGGCGGACTAGGGTCCCCCCAAAAAACATCTTATTGGGGTCTGGATGCCAGCTTCTTTTATAGAATCAGAGAGGGAAGTAAAGTAAAAAGGTAGAATAGAGAGAGAGAGAGAGGCGGGGAGAAAGTAAAGTAAAAAGGACTGTCAGTCTTGCAAAACATCTCTTGGAATGGCCAGCCTCGGGGAGGGGATGTGTTCATTTCTTCTTTCTTGCAGCCATTCACAGGTGGGTAGGGTTCCCAGAGGCAGGCCATTAAGTACGATTATAATAACAAAAGCAATGAAAAGGCTAAAGTCAAAGAAACAGATCCCACAAGGAGTCAAAATTGGCTCTCTTCCCTGTTACACTCCCACCCTGCATTCCCACTTCCTAGAGAGACACAGCTCATTTAGACTACCATAGCCTTCCTGTTACGTCGATCACCTCCCTCTCCGTTGTCTGGGACAGAGAATCGACACTGACACCCCACCACTACATATACACACAACCCCAGGCTCACTCACTCTCATCCATGTCATTTTCGTTCTCCCCCTTTCTCTTCTGCAACCCCCCCAACTCCACACATCCTCCGCTGCAGTAGCCCTGGCTGTGCCCCAGGACTGCTACCCCTTCGGTTTGTCCACTAGTAACATTCTGAAGGCACAGAGTCCAGCCCTGTCTCAAGAACAAAGTACGCCTCCAGCACCTGCCTCACCCAGACTTACTGCCAGATCCATAACTGAAAAGAGTGGGTTCCAGATGTCCAGTCTGTGGTGAGGCCAGGTGGAACGGGAGCCTTCTAATGAGAGCATTCAGTTGTGTTCAGTGAGCACCTACCATGTGTCAGGAACTGTGTTAGCTGCAAAGATTGAGGATGGTTGACACTAATCACTCACCTTGAGAAGCTCACAACAGAAGTGTTGCCCAACACAAGTTCACTTGTCTGCTCCACAGTGAGGCCCAAGAAGCCCAAACGTCAGTGTTTGGGGCAGTGAAAAGTTATTGCCAGGGCTGTGCAAGAAGGGCAGCACTTGCTCAAAAGACCTGAACTCCCCGATGGTTTGGGGGAAGAGTTTTCAAAGGCAAAATATGAGGTGAGGGCTGTGAGGTGTGCGACTTTCCTCTGATTGGTTGGTGGTAAGGTAACAGGGCGGTGCTCCAGGAATTCTGTGCACAGCCTGAAGTTACCATCCTCCACCTGGGAGGAGGCCTTAGCTCCTGCAGAAGAACTCAAGGCTATGTTGTCACTATATCCCTTGAGGAGGAACCAGGACTTGGCTTTATCGCAGAACCATTGTTTCCTGACTGCACCTCCACGTGTCTACATTGCCTTCCAAACTGTTTGAATCTGCCCTTTGAAACTCAGGGAAAGTCTCGGAGGCTAATTTTTCCTACCAACAAGAAACAGGGGACCCAGAAAGGCTTTTGTACCTAGGAGGGCTCCTCAGGGTCCTGCTCAGTTTCAGAAGGAAGGTATGTAAACAGAACGTTACTATATAGCAGGAAAAGGTGTGGGCAGGGGAGGAAGGAACGCCGTGCAGACGCAGTGGAGACAGTCTCTGCAACAGGCGTCACCTCAGAGGTGGCCTGTGAAGAATCAAGAGTTAACTGAGCCAAGAAGCATACACAACACGTCTTACAGGTCTGCAGAAAACAAGGAACTTACAGAAATGGTACTTGGGCAGCAGAAGTAGGGCACATCATTCCGTGCCCACGGTAGTGCTTACAGTGTGCAAAGCACTGTGTGATCCGCGGAGATCAAATAAACCGTGGCCTCTGCTCCCAGGCACAAAACGTATTACCTAAATATAATGCAAACTGCTCGGAATACCAAGCGCATTGAGAAGGGAGAAGAAATGTGAATTTCACTCTGGTCCGAAGTACAAAGATCACTGGGGGTGAGTTTGGGGAGTACTCTCTTTAGGGCGCTGTAGGGGGTGGGTGGAGTAAATAAGAGGCAGAAAAATCAAGGTGGGGCAGTAGTAGGAGTTCAGCCTTCAGCAGAAAAGGGGAGGAGGGATCTCGCGCAGGATTGGGGCAGAAAAGTGGGTGGAACTAGTGGGCGCCACCCCGTCTCCTCCCCCCCCCAACCTACCTACCTTGCAGTCTGGTGAGACAGGTGAGGGAGGAACTCCTAACGCTGGTAAGAGGGGCAGGAGGGTCGTGGCTTGGGGCTGGCATGTAAGGAGGCGGTCTGGCCCCTTTGTAGATTCGGTGACTCGTTCCTCTGCAGAGCTCAGGGAACTCCTGACAGGCTGGCTGGGGGTAGTGGCTGCCTAGGTGCTGCTACTGTGTTGCAGGGGAATGAAAAGGCTTCTCCCCACCAGCCTCCCAGCCCCTGTACTAATAACTCCAGGCAGGAAACTTGAAATCTGAGTTTACCGAGTGAGGGCTGGTAGAGGGCGGGGTACCGTGACACCCTTGGGGCACGGAGAGGTCAAGAATCATCTGGGCCTCATTGCCCTAGACCTCTATTGCCTTAGACCTGTCTGTAAGATTCTCAGGTAGTTGTGTCCTGTGGCTTTGTTGTGTCTATGTGCACTTTCTCCCTCCAACTGGAGCGTGGGGCTGACGGGAGGAAATGGGAAGGCGGGGTCAAACAGGGTAAGTGGTGCCCTACAAGGTCAGACTGAGGGACTCAGACTGGGCAGGTGGGGGGTGGACGTTCGATGCAAGCAATAATAAAGGGCGGGGCCCGCCTATCACCTGGATTCCAGAGATGCCGTGAGTCCTGAGGCCCCAGGCAGGGCCTGCCTAAGACTGGATCCTGGAATGGGTAGAAATACAGAGATGGAAGGGAGAGCATAGGGAAGAGGAAAAAGTAAGGAACGTAGGGCTCTGACATAGTAAACTCACATGAGGGCTGGGAGTCAGAACTCCCGGGCTGGTTTCCTGGCTATTCCACACATACTGATACCCTGAGACAACAGTGTGATCCTAGAGAGAATTCCAGAGCTGAAGGGGACCCTGCAGATCACTTCCTTGGGCCATTTATTTGATTTGAGATAGAAGAAACAAACCCAAACAAAGGTGTCTAATATGCTTACTTTGAAATCTAACCTAGCGGTGATGCGAATTGCTAGTTTAGACACAACAGCTGTGTGTCTTTTTGCAGGAGCCTGGGGAGGGGCCATGGTGCCAAGCCAATTATGGGGGACTCTGGAGAAGCCGCTTCTCTTCCTGTGTTGCACCTCCTTCCTCCTGGGGCTGGCTTTGCTGGGGATACGGCCGGACATCGCCCCCGTTTCTTATTTTTTTCTCACCTTGGGTGGCTTCTTTTTGTTGGCCTGCCTCCTGGCCTGTGGTTTGGAATGGGGGTCTCGATCAATGCAGACCGAGAGCCCAGGGGCCTCAAGCAATGCACGGTGAGTTAAGGGGTGGGCAGGATTGGAGGATTACATGTGGACCCATTCTCCCTGTGTCCCTCTAGACTCTAGGCGGACAGCCTCTGGTTTCCCCCTGTCACTGGTATCACGGTCAGGGGCTAGTGGAGGGGGTCTTTTGCTGGTAGAAGATAGAAAAGGGAAAAAAGGCTTCTTTCAGAAAGCCACTAATGACTTTATTTCTCCCCCCCCCCCCCCCTC